TTCATTGTTTTCCCCTGACGGAAACCCTCCTTCCATGACCGCGCTTGGAGCCTGGATATTTTTCTCTCTATTTTTAGAACCGCACTCAGGCAAAGGTTTAATCGGTGAGCCTGGCTGAGCGCGGTTTACAAACCAGATATTTCTTTTATTATATTTTTTAAAATTTTCTTTATTTTCCTTTTCTTTCCTCAGCCTGGATCTTCTAGAAATCGGCTTCAAGCTGTTGATTTTGTGCATAAATAAGTTATTTTAACGCCTTATTTTATCCCGGTGAAACTGGGACGGGTAACGCCGCCAACATAAAAAAAAAAAAAACGTGAAAAAATATAAAAATACGATGTTAAAAAAAATATAATGAAGACACACGGTGGTTCCTCCGCTCAGAACTCACCTAATTCAAGAGGAAAACGAGCCGACGGGTCAGAGCGGGAGCGTAAATATTGAATGAGGGTCTCACCGCTCTCTTCCTCCCCGAAGACTCGGTGAATTAATATTAAAAATTAAAGACAATTTGGAATCGCCTGGCACGCAAAGACTTTCGAGCACTGGAAAGCTCTTTTATTTTCCTTTTTTTTTCCCTAAAAAAGGAGTCCAGCTCCAGGGGCGCACGGAGAACCGGCGATTTTGGGGCAATGGCGCTTCTTTTTTTTTTATTTTTTGCCGTCTATCAGCCGTCGAGGCGTAAATCCTCTCCCTCCCCCCCTAAATATTTCATTTAAGCGGCGTTTTAACGGACGGGAAGGATGAGCTCGGTCCCTCCACCTTCTCCGGGGACAGGTTCGACCTCTTTCGCCCCGTTTTCTGTCTCAAAATCGGCAGGAACTTGGGGCACGAAAGACGTGGACCTGTCGGAACGGGGCTTTTAAACCCAAATATCCTACAATTTTATTTTTCCTGGCTTCAAAATGCTGGTTTGGAGAGATTCAGAGCTCAGAAACACCCACTTTGAGGGATTTTGGGGCCTCCAAACACTGATTTTGGAGGTTTTGGAGTCTCGAACATCAATTCAAGGAGATTTTGGACCCCCAAACACTGATTTAATGAGATTTTGGTCCCCCAAACACCAATGTAGGGAAGTTTTGGACCCCCAAACACCAATTAAGGGACATTTTGGACACCCAAACACCAATTTAAGGAGATTTTGGACCCCCAAACACCAATTTAAGGAGATTTTGGACCCTCAAACATCAATTTAAGGAGATTTTTGGACCCCCAAACACCAATTTAGGGAGATTTTGGACCCCCAAACACCAATTCAAGGAGATTTTGGACTCCAAACCACCAATTTAGAGGAATCTGGGTCAGCTTAGGCCAAGCTCTGAACGTGAGTTGGTAGGACAACATTTTAAAAAGGGGAAAAAAAG